ACATTCAGGAGAATGCTCGTTGAGTCACAACCAGGACTTTTTCGACTCAGCTCTGGACGTCGTGACCGTGGTCAGATCCATCCAGGTCTCGCCGCCATTGCAGTCAGATACATTCAGGAGAATGCTCGTTGAGAGTATTTTCCCTCACTAGCACCGCATTGATCATAAATGAACGGGAATCAGAATAACGAACTAAAATTATATTATATAGTATTAAATAGTTTTTCATTAAACAGACGGGAAAAACTGAGGATCAGACAGAATGAGGACTGTCCCTCTGCAAGCGGGCAAAAAAGGTTGTATCATTTCAAAAAGGCAACAAAAGAACTGTCGAAATGCAGACCTGAGTTCGACTTCTGCACGGAACTAGATAAAAAAGTAAAACAAAAAGGACAGATGACTCGAGAAGAGCATGGGGTCACAATAAAGAGACGAGGAGAGAACAACAGCGCGAGCAAGATTGCGCGAAGGCAAGACAGAGGGAGGGCATGAGCGCGCGCGCACACGACGGAGAGGCGAGGGAAGAAGGTAGACAGAGGTTGCGGAAAGCGGGGGGAAGAAGAGGCGGCGGAGAGAGAGGGGAAAGGGCACCTACGCCGCATGATCGTAGGAGCTAAAAATTCCCGCGTGCGGCCAAGGATAACTGGGGGGGTGAAGGCCGTGCTCCGCCTCATCAGAATGCGCCACGTCAGCAAACGCCACTGCTCCCGCCAATCCCGCTCCCATTGCCAAGCCCAACTTTTGCAGCGCCCTCAAGCCCGCCGTCGGTGACCCTTCCTCATATCCAGCATAGCTGCCTCCTCCTCCTCCTCCTCCTCCTGCACTCCCTCTCTCTTGATGAGATTGCTGCTTAGTTGCCGTAGCCATCGTCATCGCCGCCGAAGCATTCTGCACACACACACACACACACACACGCACCGCATGCAAACGATGGAAAGCGGTCCACAGGGGATGAGTCGCTCAACCAATTGATCATCCGGCCTATCAGCCACACATACTTTATCTATCTATCTATCTATCTATCTATCTATCTATCTATCTATCTATCTATTTATGCCATCTATCTATCGATTTATTCTATCTATTTGCATGCATATCTATCTATCTATCTATCTATCTATCTATCTATTTATGCCATCTACCTATCTATTTATTCTATCTATTTACATGCATATCTATCTATCTATCTATCTATCTATCTATCTATCTATCTATCTATCTATCTATCTATCCATCCAGAAGACAACAAACGAGGGGCTGTGATATATATAGTTTAATTAACAATCAACCTCATGTAATTGTGTGCACCATGATCATTCTTTACATAGAAATTCCCGTAGCGTCAGAATTGCATCACCAGTTATTACCCCTTATCGATGAAAATGGATTGGATATACAATTGACAAATTAAGAACGTGCTTCGGTTTACCCCCACGATTCATTATATAACTGGATACCTTATCCATTTAAATTTCAGTTATAGTAAACCACCGTGACGATTATAATTGGATCATCGAGTTATATTGTATCACATTGACATTTAGAACGCGCTTTAGTCGACCAACAGGATGATTCATCACCCCTTATACGGTTACAACCCATTTATAATCCAGTTATAATCAAAGCTATAATCAAAGACATGATCAAAGATATAATCCAGCTATAATCAAGTTGTGATCCAGTTATGATTTCTTTACTCTTTACAATAAAAAAAACTTACCGCGGTGTCAAAATTACCCTACTATAACCAACGGATGTTGTGTTCGGGGGAACGAGCACCTCCAAGGTAATCACAAAAGTCAAAATTAGCATAGCTTCAAAGTGGCGACGAAAAGGGGGTCAAGTGTGTCACAATGGCTAAAGACAAACGTTTTCTTCTTTCCCTCTTTTTCTGACGCTCATGTTATATCTTTTTACGTCGCAATTCAAATTTGCCCTCCGTCTTCTCTTTTTCTTTTTTTCCCTCATCTTTCTTTCTCTTTTTTTTTCCTCCTCTGCGTTGCATTTTTTTTTTTTTTTTTAACACCCATGAAACACAGCTAGGGGTATGATAAGAGCATGTACCCCTGGCTATTTTCGTAGGTGGCTCCGGTCTATTAGTGGGGAGCATCACGTGCTGGAAACCGGGTACCTCTGCGTCGCATCTTCTTCCACTCTGCTGGAACTCCCTAAGGGCCTTGTTGGACTACTCGCCATCCGCCAACATTTTGAATGCATCTGGACTTAAATTTTGACGAAGGTACCCCTAGTTGGACCACTCGCCATCCGCACATAAGGGAGGTCGATATGACATTCTTTTTTTTTTTTAACGAAGTTCAATAATCGACAAAAACACCCCTCCTCTCTCGCTCAAGCGGGTACATTGCTCCTCTCATTATGAACCAAACATCAAGAACACATTTTTCATTTCCTCCTAACTCTTAAAAAATATATATATATATATATATTTCCTCTCTCTTCACCCCCGTTGCAACATTCATTTGCCTCTCAGCTAACCAATATCTATGTTGGGTTGAAATCGCGACAGCAAACACAGTAGACTGGGATCTCGACCCGATCATTTCACCGCCTCCTCTTCCTCCTCCTCCTCCTCCCCTCACCCTCACTCCATCATTATTACTACTTTGCTGTGGATTAAAGTTCCCTCTCCACGTCATTCCCCCCCCTCCTGTCACGCTAGCAAAACCGCCGCACCATTATCCACGTCGTCATCATGGTACCCACATTGCCCACAATGACTCCACATCATCAATCATTATCATGCGTATTCAAGACAGTTCCGCTACCCCGACGAGGCCATGATTGGACTTACCTGTATTGGATATACTTTGGATGTATACCTGTGATGGATTTATTTTGGACATAATTAGATTCTACTTTTGATATATACCTGCAATGGATACATTTTCGATATACTTAGAATATACTCTGGATATATGTATTGTCACAAGAGTATCAGAGCGCAAATGCGAACAAAAAGAACAAAAAGGAAAAAAGAAAGAAAAACAAGAAAAAATGAATTCAGTTTTTTATCTTCTTCCTTATATATATACCTATAATGGACATACTTTGCAGACAGGATAATGCAGGTAATGCAATTGTACGTAAAATCCTGTGGATAATCCCCCTTACAGTAAGGGCATAACCACTCACACGAGAGACTTATTTGACTGAACTTGCCCGTCTTCCAGTCCAGATACGTCCCGGACAGCAGCCCTACTATGAGTGTGCCCTCCGGAGGGGAGGGTATGATTGCTACTTAATATGGATGACGTCATTCTTAAAACAGCTGTTTCGGCAAGTGCATGTTGACTGCAGAGCGAGGAGGTGAGAAGGAGAGTGGGTTTTTTTTTTTTTTTGCGCCTGGAGGGAGGAGGTGAGAAGGAGGGTGGTTCGCTCCCAATTTCTTTCCTTTGATGGGAGTTGGGGAGGGTAAGGAGAGGGAGGGGGGGAGGGGGGGGGTGGGGGGGGGGGGGGGGGGGGGGGGGGGGGGGGGGGGGTTGTCTAAATCCCTCTCACCCTGTCAAATTTTCATATTAAAAACTGACACGAGTCTTCGATCCCCTCGCCGCCTCGCCTCGCTACACCTTTTCGTTTGGACTGTTTGTACAAATGAATGAAACTGACGGGGGTACAATCCCTCCCCCCCACCCCCCCACCCTGTAAAGACGAAGTGAGCATCAAGCTTCCGGCCACGTGGCAGCTGTCTGCGTAATACTAATTCATTTCGCCTCCTCCTCCAAAGCCATCTCTTTCCGGTCCCAATACCAATCCACTTCCCGGTTACTTACGTTTCGTCGAGAATTCCCGCTTCATCGTGAATTTACGTGTCAAGGCAAAGCACGTCAATACATTGATCTGCCACGTGGCAGCTGATTCCTCACGCCACGTGCCAGCTCATTCCTCCCGCCACGTGCCAGCTCATTCCCTCGGACGTGGCAGCACGCAGCAGCTGGTTCTCTCGCCATGTGATCCTCCGGCCACATGGCAGCTGAATCCTTCCGCCACGTGGAAGGGAAAAAGCAGAAAACTACTCCCCACGAGTTCCAGGATGACCGGGGAAGGGGAAAACATATCTGCCACGTGGCAGCAAGATACGTCATTAACACGCATTTATTACTAGTATCTACCAAACGAAAGATACAAACGAAAGATATATACCACCCCACCCACGCGGCTGAGTCGTACACCCACACGAGCTGTTGATACACAGACAGACCTGACTTCGAATCCTGAAGGAATCAGCGGAATAAAATACTCTGAACTACTTGGGGCAATGGTATCTCAAGGCCGTCGCGATTCTATTCCAAAAAAGGAAACGTATCCTGCCCGTAATCTCATTGTTCCCGTTATGCTCTGTTCTTTCTCTATTCTGTTCATTTTTTTTTCCTTTTCAATAATAATAATAAAATAACTGAAGTAATCAAGAACAATAACGAGAACCAAAAAAACATGAGAACAGCAACTCCAGCAGATGGGCACACCAGCTGTGCCCAGCGTCATTTTATTTTGACTCCTCCCAAAATTACGAATTACGTCGACTTCTACTTGAGTGCCCTCAAAAGGCTAGAGTTCTGAGATATTGCGCCAGTCCCAAAGATGACGAATCTGGTCCACTTCCGTTCCAGGTGCAGTTCCGAATCCAAATCTGTGACGGACTAATCAAACATAATTTGCGCGCCTACGAACTGAGTCGATCCTTCCGCAAACAATTTGATGTAATCTGAGAGCGCCACGTGGCATCTTGAGGTGGCTACCCGTACGCATCCGGTAATCATCGTGTTTTGCAAAACCAGTCACATATCCAAAACCTGTCACAGGACCTGCACTCGCGCCCCCCCCCGTTCAACCGATCGTTTCCTTCTCCTCTTTTTTTTTTTTTTTTTTTTTTCCTTCTCCTCTTCTAATCCTCCTGCCTAAATCAGTTATCTACACTCCTTGATTAACTACCCAATTTGTAATAATTTGCTAACAGAAAATCATAATTGACAATAAATTGATAATAAATTGATAATAAATTGATAATAAATTGATGATAAATTGATGATAAATTGTCATAAACTGTCAGTCCTATCCTTCAAGCAATCCTTAAATGAATTGAAAACAGTTAAAAAAAGAAAGACAAGACCAATGCTCAATAGATTGAATGACACGCCTAACACAGTGACTGATCGACTGCTTAAGTGGACGATTAATTAATTACTCGCCCCTGATAACGATCGATCGATTGATTGATTGATTGATTGATTGGTTGATTGGTTGGCCAACTCGATGAGAGGGTAATAAAATATTCGACGATTTTCGAAATTTTCTGGGGGGGGAGAAAAGGAAGAAATACAAACAGAAAAGATGCAAAGATGATCACCTGTCCCAGCCTCTGATGCGCGCCATCGATCACGGCACCGGCTTTCGCCAATGCGCGCCGAGCTATGGCGGCCGTACGTAGCCCGAGCATGGCGACCGCCTCCTCTTACGTTGCACGCCGACGTCACCACACCGTAGTGGGGCTGCGGTGGTCCCCACCACCCGCGCACCCGGCCGACCGCCCAACCTCAATCGAGGAAGGAACCACGCGCAACGAACGCGACGAAAATAACCGGCCCGCGCACGCACAGCGTTGGACGGCGAATGGACTCTCCCTTCCCGCCTCCGCCTCCCGCTCCCACTCAGCTGCGCTCCCTCCTCTTCTGCACCACCTCCACCCCTCTCCCAGTCCAACCCCGCCCACGTTTGATTTCGTACGCGGCAGCAATCAATCCACCACGTCTTCCAATTACAGCGTACATTACATACAACGCATTTGACCCTGCCCACCCGCCCACACGCGCGCTTGCGCGCCCGCGCCGCGAAACAACTCGAACCACTGGATTGACGACAGAAAGCACGCGACCTCACAGTCCCTTCCACCCACCCTTACTTCATTCATGGGTGGCCATTTTCCATTTTCCCTTTCCTTTTCCCTGTTCCGTGTGCTCTCTTTCCCACCCCTGCTCTCTTTCCCACCCTCGTGGACGGAGCGGGGGAAAGGAACGCCGAACCTACTTGTCGATAGCTGCCCAAACCGGCACCAACAATTTCGCCTGGACTGGATTCCCTCGGACGAATGGACAGACCGTCCGTCTGACCGACGGGGCTTGGTAGCTTAGTTGGTGCACCCCTGAACTGTGGAAATAGAGATCCAAGTTCGAATCCAGACGCAACCAGAGGAACACAACAAAATGAATATGGGAAAACTTGGGCGCTGTCATGGTTTCAGTTTGGAAAATCCGTCGACCAACATAGTGCCATTCAAACACCCCCCTTGGGCTGACGCATGGTACTATTACAGTCACTGCCTGCACATCACCCAAGGGGTTAGTCCATGGTCCTAGTATGCTGGTAGTGGTTGGCCTTTGGTTGGTCTGATGAGTCTCCATGTGTGTGTGGGTGTGTGGGTTGTGTGTGGTGTGTAGTCCAATGATCTCTGGGCCATGTCTCGTGTACTCACCGTGGGTGGGGTAGAGGAGTTAGGTTCGGTGGAGGTCTTCGATCTAGGCTAGGTTAGGTTACCTACAAAAATTCCTACCGTAGGAATTTGTGTAGGGATTGTGGGCCTGTGTGTGCATCGCCTCGTTCGTATGCACTGCTCTGTTGGTGTGTCATGGGTGTGATTGTGTACCATGGTTGTTTCCGACCTCATGGTACACCAGCGAGAGTCCATACTTACATTGTACTATTCTGGTCCCGGTCTGGCTCCACTCTCTACACCCCCTTGAGTAGTGGTAGGGGCTGGGCATTAGGCATATACGATTTCCAAGGGTGGGCCTCATGTTTATGTTACAATGCTTGTGGGTTGGGCTTCAACCAGGCTGGTACATGTCTGCGTTCCCATTGAGGGGGCTGATTGGGGCGTGGGTCTGAGGAAGGGTCTCTGGGTAGGGGTCTCATCGTAGGCAGGGGACGGTGGGTTGTCACATTGATAGTAGAAGATACAGTGGGAAATGACCACATATCTATGATCCCTCCTGTGTCCGGGTCGTCCTCGAGAATTTTGGGTGTCCCTATGATACCACCCAGTAAGACTCACCTTAGAGACTCGGAAGCCGCGGGTTGGTGTAGTTCTAGGTCTATTGACAGGTATGGGTCGCACCGCTGTAGGGCGATCTGATTAGGACAATAAAAAAGTTAACTATGCTTACCATCATGTGCACCTTAAAATATACTTTGAAGGAGTTGATTTCAATTCATCATATTGGTGCCTTAAAAAACAATTCAACATTTTTTTCAAACTCAATGACCATTGCCTTACAATTTTCAACAAAACTTGATTCATTGCGCTTATTTTTTTTTTAATCTCACCATAATCTTGTTAAAATCTGATTATATATTTTAGCATACCACCATGCCACTAGCAACTTCACGTTCATTCGAAAACCATTCATCATAGTATTATGTTAACACCTTGCCATTGTCATTGCAGCGTAACTCTAGCTGTCGGGCTTAGAGTCAGGGCTATTCAACTATTTGCCTGTTCGGCCTGTGGGACCGGGCCGTGGCCTGACCCCACAGGTCGTGTGTTGTTCAGTCCAGTTTAGTTATGGTAGGCACCACTATCGGTATTACTCTAGTCTAGTTCAGTATAGTCCTTCCGCTGGGGGTATACCCAAACTGCAGTCCGTTTTATGGCTCATTCTTTATTTACACAGTTTGGAGTATGTGCGTGTTGAGTTTGTGTCGGGGTTGCACTATCCCTTCCAATTCCATCTTCATCTCCCTCATCCTCATCCCTTCGTCTTGATCCTGATGGACCCCCATCCCGACGGGTCCGTCACACTCGTATCAGACCGGAATTTTCTCCCTTCTCCCCTCCCTCATCCAACCTACTCATTATTCGTCACGCTTCTTGAGCAAAAAAAAAAAAACAAAAACTCGTCACTTCTTTTTTCGTAATAACACTGTTGTATTTTTTTTAATTGTAATTTTTGCACCGGTGGACCAAAGTTTTTGTTATTTAGCATGTTGGATTCCAACAAGTTATACATCACTTAATTTTGTGCAGTGGTTTAAGAGCTACAGTCTTTCAAAAATCGTGATTTGTTTTTAAAGCTCTCAAAACCACCCGCATTCGTTTTTTTAACTAGCGTCATCACTACAGACAGTGGTTGATGTTGCACCATATCTCGTAGGAAGCAGCTTCAAAAACATTTCTAATCAGTCTTATTTTACCAAATCTCACTCAGTGGGTAAAACGTTATTGGCAAAAGAGTGTTTGCCCCTCTTCCTCTCCTCTCTTTGCAAGAGACGGTTAACGGACGTCTTAATTTTCATACCACTTGTCAAACCATTTATAACAAAACCCAAAGGTCAGTTTAACCAAACTTGCCACCAATTCATAGAGTGGAGATCATAGTAGAGTAAGCCAAAACAGTCAACTCCAAGACCCTAACAAACACAAAACTTGACACACACAGACCTTGACTAAAAATAAAACAGGGCAAAAGAAAAAAAGAAAAAAATGATCTTTAATGCATTTTTCAGGGTTGAGGGGGCTAACCAGGGTTGAAAAGTGGGGGTCCCTGTTAACCGCTTGTACTCTTTGTCCGTGACCATCTTCAAGTGGAGAGAGGATTTGGGGATCAATATCTCACATAAAAACATCATATTTTTCAAGATATGATATCTATTGATAAAATATGACTATCTTACCAGTGGTTTGACAGTAGGACTACCTACCGCCACTTTCAATACTTTTTTTCACAAGGGGTTGCGCTACTATTGGAGAACAACGTGCGCACTCCGGACATACGCCATCAGCTGTCCAATTGGTAATCTTTATCCCTTTAAGGGTCGAAGAAGGCCAAAAGTTTTAGTTTGTTGATTGATTACTCTTGGTCGCCCAAGAGTCTGGTACATAATTTTTCCTCTCACTAATCAACTCTCCCCCACCTGTTTCTATTTTTCTTATCCCATCGTCAACTATCCCCCTGATCATCTTAATCTTTTTAAAAGTCGAAGAAGGCAAAAATTTTGGTTTATTGATTGATTGTTCTTAAAACCCAAAAGTTGTATATACCATATTTCCTTTCACTAAAAAACTTTCCCCCATTTTTTTCCGTTTTTCCTCTTCATCCTCTGATAATTTTTTTATAATTTTACCACTACTCCATCACCTTTTCTAACTTTTCGCTCCACTTTTTTTCACTTCTCTCCCCTCCTTTGTACTGTTTTTTTATATCTCTCACTCTTCACTTATCTCCTACCATTTTTTTTCTCCTCATCTCCTCACTCACCCTCTTTTACTGATTTCTCATTATCCTCTCCATCGTTTTCATTTTTTTCCTCTCATTGTCAAACCCTCCTCTCTTATTTCTCTCATTCATAACCCCATCTCCCCCACCTCCCACTTCAAACTTTTTTTCTTTTTCCCCTCCTCCACTCTCTCATCACTTGTTCTTTCCCCCCTCCCCTTCATTTTTTTTTTCTTCTTATCTGATTTTTTTTTAAAATAGATATATATATATATAATTCTATTATCTACTTCTTTTCTTATTTTTATGATTTATTTTTATTATATTTTATTTATTATAAAATTTTAATTTTTCAGCAGAACCTTTATATCTTATTATGAAGTACCATTTTTATTGTCAGAGCACATTTTGTACACTTGGGGGAAACGAAGTGCTACCAAAATTTAATATATTTTGCTTGATGACAAAATTTTTCTTTTTACTTTGTCATTTTCTTGACGGCACACTTAGACCACATGGGGGTAACATAATGTTGCCGAAAGTTTTTAAGAATATAAAACTTAATTTTCTCTTCACTTTCCTCCACCTCCTCATTTCTTTATTTTTCTATTTTTGTTTTGAAATTTTCAATTTGCGACATTTCGAAACTTAGCGTGCTTCTTTTGATCTTTCTTTTCTATTGACACATTTTTGACCCTCGGGATGTAGGAAAATATTGTCAAAAATTCAAATATATATATAAATACAGGGTCAGCTGACCGAATGTTCGGGGCCCCCAGGGTTGGCCTTCGAACGTTCGGGCGTTCGGGGCCCCGTTCAGGGGCCGAACACCTCCAAGTTCGGCCCCCACAAAAAACAATCTTGAGGCCGAAAAATATATATTTTTTTCTGAATTGTTTTTTGTGAGTTTTCTATGATGTAACCTACATGCCTATAAATTTTGAAGCCATTCTGCTAAGCCAAAACAACATTAAAAATCGTCAAAGATGGGGGTGTCAAAACGTGCTCGCCCACTCACTATTTTGTTTTTCTTCAATTTTAACTTTTTGTTTTTATTTTATTTCGGGGCCTAAAAAAAATTATTATTTTTTGAAAAAGTTTTAATAAGTTATTGATTATGTAAACTACATATCTGTAAATTTTCAGGGTATTTTTTAATGCCAAAAAATAATTAAAAATCGGCAAAGATGGCGGTGTCGAAAAGGTGCTAGCACACTCACTCATTTTAATTCTCTTTTTATTTTTTCTTATTTTTATCATAGTGTTTTTTTTTTTTTTTTGATTTTTAATTCAAATTTGGTAAGGAATTTGGCTATAGTGCCCTGGCAAATGTTGTTTAGTTTATTTTTTTTCCATAATATATTTTGTTTTCGAAAAATTTTGAAACTTTTTTTTTTTTTTTTTTTTTTTCACGTTCGGCCCGAACGGCCGAACGCCTTCCGAAGGGGTCCTGTACGTTTGGGGGTTCGGTCCGTCCCGAATGCCGGCAACCCTATATATATATATATGGTCAAATATATATATGTTATTTGTTCATCTTTAATTATGTTTTTTTTTTTTTTTTTAAGTATTTTTATATAAAAAACTCACT